CCTAGTGTTGGGTCTCTTATTGTCCCTTGGGCTTTGGGTCAAGCCTGGCCTCAGGCCGGGCTTGGGGAGTACAAGAACTCCCAGAACCCCATCAAGCAAATTTCAATATCACATTCCTCTTCTTCAAACAATATTGTGTTTATCTCCCCTGGAGTAAACGGTTTTTCAATATCGCGTCCCACAGGCGACTGGGAGCTGGATGCACGTGTGTCAGGCGTGGTTGCTCGATCAGAACTAAGGCTATCCTCGGGCCTGTGGCATTCTGGGATTCTTTTTTCAGAATGGCTGCCACTCACTAAGGGCCTTAGGCGTCCATCTCGTACACAACCTCCGGCGCGCGCGTTTTAAAATGGGTACAAAATATTAAAAAAGTGTTTTCTCAGCTCGTGCTATTTCCAACCAACCGAGTTTTCTCGACCGACACAGTTCAGTGGTTAACCACTGCACTGTGCCACCCGAAATCACTCAAAGTAAGCGTTGCGCAAACCGAGAAAACCCGATTTTAAGGTATCGTAAGATTAAAAACGCACACATCATAGGTTGGGTACAAGATGAAGGACTGAAGCCTTCAGTGAGCGACAGTCATTTTGAAAAAAATTCCCAGAATACCCCAGGGCCGCGAGTAGCCTCAGTTCTGATCGAACAACCATGGCTGATGCATGAGCCTCTAACTTCCATTCCCTTGTCAGACAGTGTTGAAAATCACTATCTGAAGGGGGAAATTCAAATATTATTTTTGGAAGAAGATAAGAATAGTGTGATTGATGAAGTGAGATATAATAAAGACCTAACCCTAATGTCGGATACAAGTGATACAGCATGGATGAGGACGCTACAGCGAACGTTTCCAGTAGAGGCTGAGTGCCAGATGTGCTGCAGCCTCCCAGGCCATAGTACTCTCCATTATTATCACCACCCGTATCATCTCCAATTTTTTAATAAAGTGATACTATAGATGAATCATTTTCTGGGTTCAGTGTTTAGCAGTCTCCGTGGTGTAGTGGTAAGACACTCGCCTGGCGTTCCGCGAGCGCTATGTCATGGGTTCGTATCCTGGCCGGGGAGGATTTAATGGGCGCAATTCCTTAACTGTAGCCTCTGTTTAACGCAACAGTAAAATGTGTACTTGGATGAAAAAACGATTCTTCGCGGCAGGGGATCGTTTTCAAGGGACCGTAGGATTAAGGACTTGCCCGAAACGCTACGCGTACTAGTGGCTGTACAAGAATGTAACAACTCTTGTATATATCTCAAAAAAAAAAAAAAAAAAAAAAAAAAAATGATGCTTCTGATACAAGTAGCATAGATAAACAGTGTGTTAGTGGCTACCATGATAGTGTTACTATGCCACTGGTGGTGGTGCCAGTACAAGGGAACAGGGGTGAATTCGCAAGAGTACTGTGATAATTTTGTACCACACAAACCACAATTTGATGATTCTGATGTTGGTGTTGCAGCCACTTTTCCATATACAGGTGAAGATATGAGTGATACCAGGACAGAATTTTTTCATTGATCTTTTCCTAGATCTTTTCAAGACTACCTTACACTTCAACAAGCTTGGCTACATACCATCTACAGGAACTAAAGCCAAGGATGTATGTGAGCGCATTGTTTGCAAGCACACAGAACGAAAAAACAGAAAGCAAAAATGTGTGTGTATCTGGTGCATCGAGTGCAAAGTCGCTCTCTGTCTCATGGACTGCTCTTTGGTTATCACTCACGCCTGAAATACTGAGTGTAATTACCTAAGTGTAGTTACAGGATGAGAGCTATGCTCGTGGAGTACTGTCTTCCCAGTACTCTCTGTCATATAATGCTTTGAAATTACTGATGGTTTTGGCCTCTACCACCTGCTCACCTAACCTGTTCTAACTGTCTACCACTCTGTTTACATAAGTGAATTTTCTTATATTTCTCCGGCAGCTTTGTTTCTTTAGTTTAAATCTATGACCTCACGTTCTTGAAGTTCTAGGTCTCGGGAATTCTTCCCTATCAATTTTATTGATTTCTGTTACTACAGTATTTTGTATGTAGTGATCATATTGCCTCTTTTTCTTCTATCTTCTAGTTTTGGCATATTCAGTGCCTCTAACCTCCTCTTGTAGCTTTTGTCCTTCAGTTCTGGGAGCCACTTAGTAGCATGTCTTTGCATCTTTTACAGTTTGTTAATGTGCTTCTAAAGATATGGGCACCATACAACCGCTGCATATTCCAGCTTTAGTCTAACAAAAGTTGTGAACAATTTCTTTAGTATTTCTCCATCCATGTATTTAAAAGCAATTCTGAAGTTAGAAAGTGTAGCATAGGCTCCTTGTATAGTGTTCTTAATGTGGTCTTCAGGTGACAGTTTTTTTTTATCTAGAACCACCCCTAGATCTCTTTCTTTATCAGAATTCTTTAAAGATTTCTCACATAATTTATAGGTTGTGTGAGGTCTCTGTTCTCCTATTCCACATTCCATAACATGGCATTTATTCACATTAAATTCCATTTACTAAGTGGTGCTCTATATATTTATTTTGTCCAGGTTTTCTTGAAGGGCATGACAATCATCTAAGTTTCTTATCTTCCCTATTATCTTAGCATCATCAGCGAACACATTCATATAATTCTGTATTCCATCTGGTAGATTGTTTATGAACATTACCAGTACAAGAACTGAACCTTGTAGTACTCCACTTGTGACATTTCTCCAGTCCGACACATTGCCTCTGATTACTACCCTCATTTTTCTATTAGAAAATTTTTCATCTACAGGCATACCTCAGAATAAGAGTTTAATCCGTTCCTGGAGTCGCCTCGCCTTCCGAAAACTCGCATTCCGAAGTTAATTTCCCCATAAGAAATAAAGGGAAATGAATTAATCCGTTCCTGACTACCCCAAAAACCCCACATCAAACTAAATTTTTATACCTAATTTACCTAATTCATCTAAATAAACCTACAAAACTGTGTTCCAGTTATTACTTACCTTGCTGTCGAGTGCTGTATGCGTATGGAAGATGGTGAGGAGGGGGGAGGAGGAGAGGAGTTACTGTTTGGAAGGGGAGTCCCCTTTCATAATCACATCACATAACCCCATGCCTTGTAACACTATGGATACCACTTCTCTTTCTAAATTTTTCAAACCAGCCCCTGCTTGCCTTAAACTCTTTCTTATCTGCATCACTCGTTGCAGGGGTATTCTTTAGAAGGTCTTCGTGCAACACCCTGGCTTTCTCACAAATAATGGCCTCCGAAACACTATCACCCCTCAACTCCTTGTCGTGTATCCAAATTAATAACAACTTTTCCACTTCTTCAAGTATTTGTGGTCTTTGTGCCGTTAATGTTCTTACTCCTTTTGCCACTTTAGCACCCATAATCTTATTTTTCTTCTTAAGTATAGTGCATATTGTTGATGTGGCTTTGTTGTACTGCCTACAAAGTTCAACAACACGTGTACTGTTCTCATGCTTCCGAATGATCTCTTGTTTCTCCTCTATTGTCATCCTCACATGAGCTTTCTGGCCTTTATCCTTACCACTGGCTTTCTTGGGACCCATGGTGAGATATATAATAACAAATTGTATAGACAAATCACCAAAAATCCAACAAAACACTGAAAATACGCGAGAAGAATTGATGTGGGGTAGTCACTGAGCGCGAGACAATGGTAAACTGAGGGGCGGCGGGGCGGAGGGGCGACGAACGCGCTAGGTCGGCTGTACGCGTATCAACAAACTCGCGTCCAAACTCGCCTCCCGAAGTAACCCTCGCCTTCTGAGACAAATTTTTGGAGTAAATACACCTCGCCTTCCGAAAACCTCGCATACAGGGACAATCGCATTCCGAGGTACCACTGTATGCTAGAAGCTTACCTGTCATTCCTTCAATATGTTCGTTTCCAGAACAACCTCTTATATGGAACTTTGTCGAAAGCCTTTTTTAGGCCCAGATAGATGCAGTCAACCCAACCATCTCTTTCCTGTAAAATCTCTGTGACTCGATCATAGAAATTGAGTAAATTTGTTACACAGGATCTTCCAGATTGAAAACCATAATGTGTAATACAGTGTGTGACTGTAAATAGTGTGTGTGTGAGTGTACATATTGTAAATATGTTGAATATTGAACAAGTAATATTGCAACAATAAAAAAAGTTTCTGGACAAATTCCTGACACATGCATAACAGTTCCTTGGAACATTAGGAACGTTCTACTGTATACATATTGTAAAGGACACAAATATGCATCAGATACGATAAAAAACTAATTAGAAAGTAGTGAAAATGCATTAAAGATAAATGAAAATATATTTTTGCAACGCGCGAGTCTTAAATCTTCTGCAAAACTGCCTCTGGGAGCTTCACGCACAGGTGCACACACCGTGATGAAGTCACATCATACTTTCTCATACATACTACATAAGAAGTCATACTTTTCAAGCTTTGGGCTGTTGTAAGATGGGGTGCACCTAAGAAACTAGGTTAGCCTTGGAAGGGATAGGAGATGTATATATATATAAATATATATTATATACAGTAAATAACAAGATGTCCCAGGACAATGTTTGGGGGGCACTCCACTAACAACAGTTTCCCAGTCTGACTTGACTTCATTTATGCTAGCCCTCTGCTTTCTTTGAAATTGAGAAAGACTTAATTTGAAGAGAAATTAACAAAGATTTAATTTAACTTTGAATAACCCTGGGCTCTCCAAATGTGAGGAGCATTCGTCAATATTTAGTATGTGTATGTGAGTATATGACATACTCTGTCATATACTGTGTGACTAACTTTCTCCTGTGAAGCACAGTATAAAAGGCTAAGTCATTATCAGGGAGAAACATGTATTCTCGCACATGTTAAACCACTCGCACATTCCATATTGATTTACCTAATGCCACCATTAGTGGCATTAGTGGCATGGTTTGAAATTTAGCTACTTGGTCCTATCAAGACAATCAAGCCCCATAGTCACATGTATTCTTTTTAACAGTTTTTTATTTATTTCAGTATGTGAGACTCGCTCATGACACACGACCAGACCATATCCTGCAGCTGCTAACAGGAGAGTGGGGGCTAGATCTCCCAAAACTGCTTATTACAGTACAAGGTGGTAAAACTAATTTTGATCTTCAACCCAAACTAAAAAAAGTTATTAGAAAAGGTTTATTAAAAGCAGCCAAAACAACTGGTGCTTGGGTCTTCACAGCAGGAACTAATACAGGTATGTTTATTCACTGTCATTCTGGACCCCTGGTGTATTCATCATTGTCTTCTTCTTCTTCTTGCAGATTCAAAATGTATGCGACTAATTCAACAAGATTTAATGCTATTCAAATAAGTTTTCAGAATAATACAGAACTCGTATTGGAATTTAACATTTCTCACACCCACACACATGGTGACCTGGACAAAATAAGTGTATGGAGCAACACTTGACAAATGGAGTCCATTGTGAATAAATGCCATGTTATGGAATGTGGAATAGGAGAAAATAGGTGACAGATTATTTGAAAAGGCATTAAAGAACTCGGGCAAAGAAAGAAATCTAGGGGTGGATCGGGATAGTAGATTGTCACCAGAGGACTACATAAAATGCACAAGGATTAGAATCCATTAGGCAGTGATATAGTAGAGGCAGACTCCAAATACAGTTTCAACTGTAGATATGATAGTCCAGTAGGCTTAGGAATCTGTACACTAGTTGATTGACGGTTGAGAGGCGTAACCAAAGAGCCAAAGTTCAACCCTCGCTAGCACATGGGTGATCACAGTTAAGCGAGCATACAGGGCATTGTATGAGGAGCATATGCTATGCTCTCCAACTTTAGAATTACTTTTAAATACATGATGGTAAAATATTAAAGAAACTGTTCATGAATTTTGAGAGACTAAAATTGGAATATGCAACAGTTCTCTGGTGCCCATATCTCAAGAAGCACATCAGTAAACTGGAAGAGGTGCAAAGGAATGCTATGAAATGGCTTCTTGAACTGGAGGACAAGAACTACGAGGACAGGCTAGAGGTATTAAATGTGCCAAAGTTAGAAGGAGAAAAAGAGGTGATATGGCCACTGCTTTTTCCTGTTACAAAATAATAACAGGAATTGACAAAATTGACAGTGGAATTCTTAAAACTTGGAACTTCTAAGAACAAGAGGTCCTAGATTTATATTAAACTAAGGAAGCAAAGCAAAGCATCCTTCCCTTTTCAGGGGCTTCTAGTGTTTTCATCTTTGGTTGCCACATGTCTGAGGTGGCTGGATCCCTGGGTTGCCATCTTGTGGTGGAGAGAGGGGAATTATCAGAGGAAAGTGCCAAGTCATTACGACTATATAACACTTGGAAAGGGGTCAGGGCAAGGATTAGGGATGGGATGGGGGAAAGGAAAGGTGCCCTACCACTTGGACTGTCAGGGATTGAACGCCAACCTGCATGAAGCGAGACCGTCGCTCTACCATCCAGCCCATGTGTTTGGGCAGGATGGTAAAGTGGTGGAGGGAGTAATTATTAAATATGTGTTTTGTTTTACATAAGTGTAGTTAAAGGATAAGAGCTACACTCAGGGTGTCCCATCTTCCCAGTACTCTTTGTCATAGAACGCTTTGAAACTATGGACGATTTTAACATCCACCACCTTCTCATTTAACTTATTGCATCTGAATACCACTCTGTTTGCAAAAGTGACCTTTTTAATGTTTCTTTGGCAGCCTTGTTTCCATAGCTTATATCTATGACCTCTTGTTCTTGATGTTCCAGGTTTGAAGAATTTTTCTATATCAATTTTGTTGATTCCATTACTATTTTGTATGTAGTAATCATATTGCTTCTTTTTTTTTTATCTTCTAGCTTTGGCATATTTAACACCTCTAGCCTCTCCTCATAGCTCTTGTCTTCCAGTTTCAGAAGACAATTTGTTGCATGTCATTTCACCTTTTCCAGTTGATGTGTTTCTTGAGATATGGGCACCATACACCCATTTCATTTCCTACTAGTCAACCTTTCCAGTCAAATTCAGTAAAGAACTTGCCAAGTTCCCCATAGTGTCCTCTCTTGGAGTAAGTTTTTCCACTACAGTATTTCCTTGACTCCAATCTCTTCTAAATTATAATGCAATGCATATCTAATTTCCAAAAAGTTATAGTTGCCCTTGCCCATTGGAGGGAGGTACTGAATGTCAAATATCTCTTCTCCTTCTATCCTGGTAAATACCAAATCCAGCAATGATTATCACCTCTCATTCTTGTGGGCTGTTTTTACATGTTGATACATGAAAGACTCCGAGATGAGGTTTAGCAATCAGTCGGTCCAAAGGTCTTCTGTTCTTGCTTCATACTCTTCCCAATCTATCGATCATAAATTGAAGTCATCAAGTATCAACGTGTGATTTATCTTTATCAGGTTTTACATTAATTCTCTCATGATCATTATAAGGCTCTCTATTGTCATCCAGCTCCTCCTTATTCCATGTATTGCTTGCTGGTGGACTGTATGCAGTAATAATTATCAGTTTATCATTCTGACTATACATCTCCAGCACCATTATGGCGACATCTCAAGAGTTATCAAATATTAATTCTCTTGCCATTAGTTGTTTCTTCACCAGGATAGCAACACCTCCACTCTTTCTAATTTCTCTGTCACATCTTTAGATAGAATAGCTCCTTGGGAATACCACCTTATTTAAAATTATATCTCCCAGTTTTTCTCTGCTAATGCAACAATATCTGGCATCTTAAGCTGTATTATATCATTTAACTAGCACTTGTAACTGGCTAACGAGTATGTACCTAGTTGACAAGGTTACCAATGTATGTTTATGCATTTTCTTGTTTGGGGCACACTTCCGTTCTGGCAGTTTTTTTTCCTCTTGATTTGTGTTGATCTAATATCCCCAGATTACCTTTGCCTCTTTTGAACGGACCAGATTCTATTTGTGGTTTTCAGTAGGCTTTTATGACACACAAGGGTGTGGTGTTGGAGGTAACCAGGTGGTTAGCTTGAGGGACCCACCAAATGGACCCACCAGCATGATATTACATTCTATGCTGAATTTGTACTTGAGGGATGTTCCAGGCAGTTGTCTGACACATTCCTTAAATTATTTTAACTACAGCCATACAGTATTTTAATAAATGATAAGTATAAATTCAAATAAATTGAATAACTTAACAAGATATTCATTCATGTTGTATTATGATAGACTTAATAAATGTCTTTTTTTAAAACTTGAATGAACATCAAGAGCATTTAGCAAGTGAAACTTTACCCAATGAAAGAAAAATAAGGTTTATTTTGTTATGAAATTAGTAATCAGTATTAATGAACTTGAATCAAAAATATCTTACAAATGTCATTAGAGGAAATAGGAAATACCTTTGTATTCCGTACTTAGTAAAATATAGCCTTCTTCTGTCTACGACTTTTTTTTCTAAAATATTAGAAATATGTAAATATATAGAAATATAAAAAAACAAAGGAATAAAATATACAAATAATAGACAAAAGTTGTACCAGTATTCAACATTATTCACGAGAAAATCAGTAGGAATCATGAGGAGGCTCCAAACCCACTCACTTGGTACTCCCAAGCTCATGCCTTAGACCACTACACCATATCATGGTCAAAAGCAATGCAACCTAGAATTCTACTGAATTCTCTAGGGGTCCTGAAGCTTCCACTGAAGCCTAATCAAGGATTTCACACATTTCCTCGATGCACTCTGGCTGTGGTCCAATACTTCTAACTCCAACACCTGTCTTCAAATGCAAAATGAAATCACATTAACATGATGTATCAATGAGAAAATCAGTACTGATGTATCAATGAGAAAAACTTATTTTCTCACTGGTACAATATATTAATGTGATTTCATTGAACATTATTCATAGTCTTTTTAAATTTTATACTTTTGGAATTATATGTATTTTTGATAAAGAATATATTTTGTATATATAAATCTAGTTTATTATGTAAAATAGCTTGCTCAGACCTATACACAAAACACTCCATTTATGTCTGTAATATCCTCCTCACATTTCTAGTAGGATAAAATACTCCAAACATTTTACCTAGATGACAATTTGCACAAGATTTTCATTTAAAGTAGTGTTGAGCTTCATGTAAAACATTAACAACCCTTTTGTATCTCATTTAGTTGGAAATTGAGTAAAGTTACAAGATAAACAAATTATTAACCACTTGCTAGAATTTTATAACTACAGTAAATCATCTTTTACATGTAATTCAATACATTGTCTAATGTTGACAGGTGTTACGAGGCAAGTTGGAGAGGCACTTGTGTCAGAGTCCTCACTGAGAGTTCGCAGTGGTCGTGTTGTAAGTGTGGGAATTGCTCCGTGGGGAATCATCGAAAGACGGCAGGAACTGATTGGGCGCAACAAAGATGTCCCTTATCACCCCATTAATTCTCCAAAATCTAAGTAAATATTAAATTAGTTTACTGCTTTATGCTAATGATTATTTGTGCATTTCTGAGTTATCACATTCAGGTACTCCCTAAGGCAAAAAATGCCTGTCACTAAAATTATTAACAAGCAGGGCGACATGCTGGCACCAAGGCTACTTGAACCTTTCAAAGAGACTGCAGAGCCTTTACTTACCTACTGGAAAAGAATGCAATAGGTGATTGAAATTGAAATTGAAATAAGTTTATTGAGGTAAAATACACACAAAGGGATGAGGTAGCTCAAGCTATTCTCACCCCGTTCAGTACATCGTGTTAATACATACATAGATACACATCACAAGCAATAAACGTATTACTGAACATTCTGAGAGATAAACATATACATTTCCTAATATGTGATTGTTCCTTAGAACAAGCCAACAATGGGAAGTGAGGCAGGAGAGGAACCTAGCACCACCAGCAAGCAGTCTTGGAAAGTAGGCAAACATGATGACTGGGAGCCCAAAAGAACCATTCATTTACTACATAAATGAATATTACACAAATGAAACTTCCAGAGAACCACTCTGGTGAGTCTGGCAATAGTCCTAGAAGCCAGATTGAAATGGCTGCACCTGAAAGTGGTAGGGGAAGGTGACATACCCAAAACTCTAAACAACCTCTTGAAATTAAGATCCTGAGCCAAGACTGACTCGAAATCAACTGGTGAAGCATGGATTAGTGGTCATCCATCAGAATAAAGGGTTGTCTGGTTCACACTGTATAAGGCAAATACTGATATTGCCATCTTGACCATGTTTGAAGCCGTTTCAAAATATGGTTAGTTCACATTCTGCCTGTTATGTATATATAGTGCCCCCAAAATCACTAATTAAAACACCAAAGCTTTTCATAAATCTGTTGCTAAACCCATGGTGTACTGTATAGTACAGTGGTACCTCGCATAACGAATTTAATCCGTTCCATGTTCGTCATGTGAAACGGACGTCATACAAAACGAGTGTCCCCCATGTAACCAGTGTGATGCACTGTGTTTATTGTGAAATATCCCCAGTGTGCATGACATCAAATGTTCCCCAAAATATAATTTTTCTTTGTAAAATGATAAATTACCGTCCCTGAACATGTCTATGTAAAAATAATTACCAAATTCCACTTACTTTGGTTGTGAGGGCGTGGACAAGGTGCGCTGTGACGTCATCAGGGGCTGGTCGCCCGTGTGTGAAGCTCCCGGACATGGTCGCGCAGGCCATTCAAGCACCGCGTGTTGCCACAAATATATTTTCAAATATTTTTTCTATGCATTTCCAATGCGGTTTTATTTGTTTCTTTTATAGTATATGATGCATATTTGTGACCTTTACAATATGTATACAGTAGAATGTTCATAATTTTCCATGAAACTGTGATACATGTGTCAGTAATGTGTCCACAAAAATTTTTATTGTCACAATATTACGTGGTAAAAATTCACTAAAAGTACAATATGTACAGTTTCACACACTATTTACACAGTAACACACTGTATTACACACTCAGTACTTTGGAGGTGTGTAATAGCCAACGAAGTAGTCCATGGTACACAGCGCGGCTTTGCTCTCCTTACACCAGCTACAGATAGATTTTCGTTTCCTGTTTCATCGTTTTGTGTGCTTGCAAATAACGCACTCGCGTGCACCCTTGGCTTTAGTACTTGTAGGTGGTATGTAGCCAAGCTTGTAAAGCATAAAGTAGTATTGAAACGATTATAGGAAAAGCTCAATTTGTAAGGTAGTCTTGAAAAGATCGCTATGTAAGGTCCCACACAGGAAGAGATTCAGCTAGCCTCAAAGAGTGTCCATCAGTCAGGAAGAGATTCAGCTAGCCTCAAAGAGTGTCCATCAGTCAGGAAGAGATTCAGGTATTCTTGAAAATATCAATGAACACCACCACCATGGAAGCTGCTAACACTTCATTTATGCTACTTGTATCAGATGCATCATCACTGAACGCAGAAAACGATATACATTAGAGATGGCAAGGGTGGGGCTCAGAGCTACACCTGGATACGCTCGCTGTATCATCCTCATAGGTGCTGTATCACTGGCATCCGACCGTTGTGTTGAGCCCTTATTGCGCCTAGCTTCACCAATGTTATGACCCTTATGTTCTTCAAACAATAGGGTCTGAATTGCACCGACTGAGCACAGTCTTTCAACACCGTGTGGGACAGGTGTTTGAGAGCCAGAGGCATGTGTGCCACAAATGGTTGCTCACGCAGTACTAACCCAGCCAGCAGCCCTTGTCTTTCATATTCGTTATAGCAAAAGGTTCGTTCAGTGTTTGTTGGGTAGGCTGCTCCATTATGACAATCTTTCTTTGTTTCAAATGTGTTCCATTTGTTTTGTATTTGTCACTTACGTCTCAATAATGGAGCAGCCTACCCGACAAACACTGAACGAACCTCTATGACATTTGTCCATTTTTCAAATTGTTTCAACAGTTTTTATTTTTCGTTTTTTTTTTTTTAAGAAACATGGAGCAGCCGACCTGTAGACCACCGAACGAACCTTTTTGACATTTGTACTGATTTTCAAAATTCTTCATTTTTTTTTTATTATTTACGTGTTTTGTATGTAAGAAACATGGAGCAGCCTACCTGCCGACCACCGAACAAACCTTTTGCTATAAGACAAATGAAAAATAAATATTGAACACATTTGAAGAAAGGAAAATGTCATAATGGTTTATTCAGTGTATGTAAGGTAGGCTTCTCCATTATTGAGATGTAAATGACAAATAAAAAACAAATGGAACACATTTGAATAAAAGAAAGATTGTTATAATGGAGCAGCCTACCTGCCGAACACCGATCGAACCTTTTTGACATTTGTTGTATATCAGATATTTCATTTCTTTTTTCCTACAAAAACGTCAATGCTTTGCAACATCTCAGCAGTCACCCTTTTATATCCCAGCATCATTAGCATCTTTAAACAAGAACAACATAATTTATGTGCATCGTCGGAGGCGTCTAAGAATGTGCAAGAAGCAGCGCGACCCCACCATGTGGTGTTGACGTTACTCAAACCAGCGTTCGTCATACGGGACAATTTGACGCCGATCGGGCCGTTCGTTACCCAAAATATTCGTCTTTTGGGGCAATCGTTATGCGAGGTACCACTGTATTTTTGTTCATATATGAGAAGAAACCGTTCATTAAAATACTGTGTCCAGCCTGTCAGTCGATTGTCTGTTGTATAAATCAAATAGTGTACTAACTTATTAATTATGAAGTCAGTAGTTGAGTGACTTATAGTTTAGGCTGGAGGATGGGTTGAACAGATCATCTCTTGTTGATATAACCCCTTTTCCACCAAGTGATGGACTGAATCTGATGAAAATACCCTGCAACAATCACCCTTTGGGCCAACGTCTTTAGAATGTAGGTGAAGAAATAGATGTAATGGCTATCCTGTGGCAACAAAATTTCTGGGAGGACTGAGAAGACAAAGTCCAGGATATACCCCTTGGGCATGATCTTTAATAGGCCTGATGAATGGTCCACAGGCAAGAGCTGTGCAGAGAGCGACGGAGCACACTATCCAGGGTGAGTGGAGCTTTTCAGGCAGCACCCGAGGAGGGCACCCAGAGCAGGTGTATCACTTAAAGGTTCTGGCTAACCTTTTCCCATTTATCTCATGCTGGAGAATGCAACTACTGGTTTGAAGTGCTAGGAGCTCGGTATGCACTGCACTTTGTCAGGAAAGAGAAGGGCAGATAATATTTACTTGTTTTTTTTTTCTTTTAATAGCACTGACTTCACCATACAAGAGTATTATTAGAGAATTACAATAATAATTACTTATTCAATTAATGAATTGCTTATCTTACAAGAGAATTACTTATCACTCAATAATTACTCATGATCTTGCACCTAGTTTCAGTTTTAACATAACTCCCACAGTTTTATCAATGTTGTACTAGGTATAAATTTCAGACTTAGGAACAACTCGTCAACTTTTTTGTTGTTCCTATTCTTCTCGATACAACACATTTCCTCTTATTTTGTCGACTAGTTTAAGCTTGTGACAACACTGGTGCACTATTACAAAGCTGCCATAAGGGAAGGAAGGCAAGGGCAGTAATGCCAGGGATGCTACAGTCACATGGCTGCACAAAGCCAGAGGTGCTGAGTTAGGTGGGCAAGTGCAGGCTAGGTTACACCATCATACAATTGGCCTGTGTGAACATTGTGAGATATCTGACCACCTACACAGTTTCCTGGCCATATTCAGTCAGTTAATAGGTATATTATTTATCTGTGGTGTGACTGGTATGGTGAGCCAACTTAACAGCTAGCTGACTCGGACTGGAAAATACACTACTGTATTAATGTTGAATAGGAATTAATTTTTCCATGTATATTTTTTTGTAAGTTGTATATATTTCCATTTTGTATTTATGCAGATATAAAAATAAATTTTCAAAATGTTTCAGATTTGTTGCACTGAACAGCCATCACACATTCTTCTTGCTTGTAGACAATGGAACAGTGGGAAAATATGGACCTGAATTGATCCTGAGACGAAAATTAGAACACTATATTTCCAAACAACGTATTGAAGCTCGTAAGTTATAAGTGTGTGCAGTTTATACACATTGCTTAAATACTGTCGCATCTAAATTGTAGTGTGCGCGCTAGGATTGTTTTGGAATTTGTCTACTGTATTGCAGTAGTTTATACAGTATAAGGAAAAGGGGGGGGGAACCCTGTTTGTATGAAGGTAAAACTTCAAGAAAATACAGTACATAGGCAATACAAAAGTAATAATTATTTATAAGAATGTGAAGATTTGATTAGCTAATTAGATACTGTATTTGTATTATTTTTTTCTTACTTAGCCCCCCTAATCATCCACAACATTTAGGACATACCTGAATTTTAATGGGTATATTTTTTTGTGGGGGGGGGGGATACTTGGAGATATGAGTTAACCTGTGTATACTGCACAAGTAAAAAATAAATGGGAAAATTAGTAAATGATATTGAGTTTCTAGAATGATGCCAAAAGTATATAAACTAAAAAGTAGATTCTGTAGCTTTGACTTTTGGATTAACATTTTGTTTTGTTGTCAACAGGTAACATCCACGTGGAGACCCTGGTGGTGACGTTGCAGATCATCGGGTTTTATGAGGAGGAATGTGAGTAATCTTGGATAGTTTCCTCAAGTTTGGCAACTATCTCACCTGTAGAGTGGTCAAAGTGTATGGCTTCCCAGCCTGGCCCATTGCTTAAAGTGCCTAAATGGCCTCATCTCTAGGACCCATAGGAACTAGTGGACAAGGGGCCGATCATAGCAGCCATGATTATCCACTTGCTCCTGAAGTAACAAGGCAAGTTTGGATGCTGAATAAACAGAAGCACTCCACCTCTACCATGGCTGTAGAATAGCTGGCTTCAGTTTATTCAGCATCCCAGCCTGCCTTGTTGCTTCAGATACATATTTAAGGGACTGATCATGGCTGCTGTAATCAGCCCCTTGTCCACCAGTTCCTACGGGTTCTCGAGCCAAGGCCATTTAGGCACTTTAAGCAATGGGCCAGGCTGGGAAGCCATACACTTTGACCACTCTACAGGTGAGATAGTTGCCAAACTTGAGGAAACTATCCAAGATTACTCACATTCCTCCTCATAAAACCTGATGATCACCTCCAGGGACTTCACAGAACAGAAAGGGTAGAATCAAATAAAGGAGTTAAAGAATACTGTTTATTAATAATTATAATATACCTATAAGGTATGTGCCTGTACCCTCCTTAGGAGTACTGGGGGGAGGTGGTGGAGGTCTTGGGCACTTGCACCACGTTTGTCAATGACCTCCAGACTGCCTGCCTTGACCAGACAGCAGCTGGAGCGGGTGGTTTCTTCGCTCGGCCTCCCATCAGACAAGAGGGTGATCATGATAGACCAGAAGGCTGTCGTGATCAGCCCTCGTCGTGATCACCTGCAGCTTCTCAAGCTAAGGCATTTAGGCCCCTAAAGCAGTAAGGCAACCTGCCCCCATTGCATTAGGTGCCTAAATGCCTTAGCTTGAGGAGTGGCAGATGAGGCAAGGGCTGATCACAGCAGCCTTCTGGTCTATCATGATCACCCCCTTGTCCAATGGGATGCCGAGCGAAGAATCCACCCACTCCAGCCGCTGTCTGGTCAAGGCAGGCAGGCTGAAGGTCGTTGACAAACTTGGTGCAAGTGCCCAAGACCAGCCACTTCGCTCGGTTGTCTTCCTCTTCCTTGTGGTGGTACGAGATCCTGGACTTTTGCAGCCATTGGCTTCTGCTCAGTTTTGCTTGCAGGATCAGTCTGTCCACATTCCTGATTGGGAAAAAAAGATATATTTTATTAGTACAATACCAATGCAGCTATAAATGGGCCAAGAAAAAACTGCTTATTAAATCAGGTATATTACACTTCTACGATCAGACTCCAAATTAAATTTTAAGTTCAACATTACACAAGAGTGTCATGGAAAACAAAAATTATTCAAGAGCTCATTACATTAATAAATGAATATCAATAGAAGGCACCAACCCAGGAAGATTATGTAGACTTAAAAAAAAAAAATTCTTGTAAACTCGTGAGGAAACGGTATCATAATAATAACCGACTCCATTTAACCACTGCACTGCACAGAGCGCCTCGAGGTGCTGCGCAGAGCACCTGAAGGCACTCATAGGTACAATGTAGCATTCAAAACTCCCACGGCTACATGAGGTTCACATCAACTTCCTCAGGGCTCTCGTAAACAGACATCATTTTTAACAAAAATTGTGGGCAACATTCCCAGGTATGAGAGCCTCAGTACTGAGTGAGCAACCAAGTCTGGTGCATGCATCATCATCTAACCGCACTGCTGTTCAGCTTGTGACCACAGCATTGCCTAAATATGTAAAAAAAAATATATATATATAATTAACTGGTATTATTTAGCCATGATAGTATTACAGAGGAGCCCGACTGATAAAGACTATGTACAATGTACAAATATTAGTGAATCAATGCTGTTTAAGATGCTCACAGCGCTAGCCACATCTGTCATTATTTCGTCCATCTAAGAATCTTCAAACGACTTCTCATGTTCCTTTACAAAATAAACTTGCGGTAAATTATTCATTTACAGGATTTAGTGACTAGGATTCTGATAATAGCAAAATTGTGGTGAGAATTAGCTGTGTGTAGTATGGTGGTAGTCGTCTTAGTGAGGGAGGAAGAGGTGGTGTCGTTTGCTGTGTGGGGCAACCTGGTATTGTCTGGACTCGCCATACCAGCTTAGTGGTTTGCTATAGTGAACACAACTATAGATAGGTACTTATATATAAGTACCTGTGTGTGTGTATAGTATATAACAGCAAAAGGAGTATGTTGAGAGGAGCCATTTTGGTGAGGGAGGTGGCGTCATCTCCTAGCATTGTCTGCCGACTGCTGTGTGACTTGTACAGTTATGGTGAACAAAACATGTACAGTAAATATGTACTTATATATGTGTGTGTGTGTGTGAATATAGTGTAATAAAACCACAAACAGTATTGTGGGAGGAGAAGTTAGGTGTTGAAGGAGTGAGGGAGGGCTGGCTGGGTGTGGCAGCCCACTCTTGTTGTTTGGACTCGTCATACCAACTTAGTGGTTCGTTATGGTAAACACGTATGTAGATAGGTACATACAATATGTGTATAGTGCAATAACAGCAGAAACACTGTTTGCTTAATCATAGCATATAATATGTCACATATATGATACCTGCTTGATGGGGTTCTGGGAGTTCCTCTACTCCCCAAAACTGGCCTGAGGCTAGGCTTGATTTGTGAGAGCTTGGTCCACCAGGCTGTTGCTTGGAGCGGCCCGCAGGGTCATGTATCCACCACAGCTCGGTTGGTCCAGCACTCCTTGGAGAAAATTATCTAGTTTTCTATTGAAGATGTCCACTGTTGTTCCGGCAATATTTCTTATACTCGCTGAGAGTATGTTGAACTCCCGTGGACCTCTGATGTTTATACACTGTTCTCTGATTGTGCCTATGGCACCTCTGCTCTTCACTGGTTCTATTCTGCATTTTTTTCCATATTGTTTACTCCCGTATGTTATTTTACTGTGTAGATTTGGGACCTGGCCCTCCAGTATTTTCCATGTGTATATTATTTAATATCTCTCGCCTCCTTTCTAGTGAGCACATTTGGAGAGCCTTGAGCCGATCTCAATAATTTAGGTGGTTTATCGCGTCTATGTATTCCTTCCATTTCAGCAATCTCTCCTGCTTTGAAGGAGGAAGTGAGTACTGAGCAGTACTCAAGATGGGACAGTACAAGTGTATAGTACAACCATTGTGATGGGATCCCCGGATTTGAAAGTTCTCGTAATCCATCCTATCATTTTCTGGCCGACACAATATTTCCTTGGTTATGTCCCTAAACGTTAGGTCGTCAGACATTATTATTCTCAAATCCTTTACATGCTGTTTTCCTACTATGGGCACATTTGATTGTGTTTTGTACCCTGTATTATATTTAAGATCCTCATCTTTACCGTACTTGAGTACCTGGAGTTTATCACTGTTAATCATTGTTATTTTCTGTTGCCCAGTTGAAAACTTTATTAATATCTGCTTGAAATTTTTCAATGTCTTCAGCAGAGGTAATTTTCATGTTTATTTTTATGTCATCTGCAAAGCAGATACAAAGCTATGACTTGTATTTTTGTCTAGATCTGATATGAGAATAAGTTAAAGCAGTGGTGCAAGGACTGTACCCTGCAGTACAGAACTTTTAACTGTGCTTAGACTCTATTTTATATGGTTGACTGTTACCGTGTTCTGTTCGACAGAAAACCGAGTATCCAGCGTCCTACTTTACCGGTTATTCCCCATTGCCCTCATTTTGTGTGCTATCACTCTATGGTCACATGAATTGAATGCCTTTGTGAAGTCTGTGTATACCACATCTGCATTCTGTTTTTCTTCTAATGCCTCAGTAACTTTGTCGTAGTGGTCAAGTAGCTGTGAGAGGCACGATCTTCTCACTCTAAATCCATGTTGGCCTGGATTGTGGAGCTCATTGGTCTCCATGACACTGGTGACCTGACTCCTGATCACTCTCTCAAATACTTTTATTATGTGCGACGTTAGTGCAACTGGTCTATAATTCTTTGTCAATGCTTTGCTCCCTCCCATGTGTAGAGGGGCTATGTCTGCTGCTTTAAGCGCATCTGGTATCTTCCCCATGTCCAAGCTCTTCCTCCACACTATACTGAGTGCCTCTACTACTGGCACCTTGCATTTCTTTATAAATATTGAATTCCATGAATTTCGACCCGGAGTCGAATGCATGGGTACATTTTCAATTTCTCTTTCAAAATCTGCCACACTAGTGGTGATATCAGTTATATTTACAGGGGTTTGGATATCATGCATAAAGAAGTTGTCGGGATCTTCCACTTTCATGCTGTTTATTGGAGTGCTAAACATGTCCTCATGCGGCTTTTTTTAGAATTTCACTAATTTCTTTGTTATCCTCCGTGTATAAACCTACACTTGTACGAATAGCTCCAATATTGACAGTGATTTTTGCTTTTGATTT